AATTATTTTACAACAAATTCAAACCCAAAATCAAAATATTCTAAAAAAAAAACTTTATAAACAAAACAATTATTTTATAGAAAACAAAAACTTAACCCAAGTATAAGCTTAGATTACTAGACTCAAGACCCTGAGCTTAAGTCTTAAGGCCTTAGCTAAGCCTAACACGCAAGCATGTTGTTTAAGTTAAAAGCTCACCCACTTTGTTTTGGTCCTCTCCCCTCTTATAATTTTGCTATTCTACACTGTCACATTTAACTCTTTAACTTTTCAATAAATAAATTATAAGAAAAACTTTTATTTTTTTATAAATAAAATCAATATTTGTTTAAGTTCAAATCCCCGTTATTTACATGGGATATAAAGTTTTGGAATTCATAAAAATATATCAATTAAGGATTTTTTTAGATCAATTAATCATTTACTATAATTTATTTCAATCATATTAATATTTTATCTTAAAAATTTTTGTTAGAGAATAATTTTTAATAAAACTTCAACCTTGTAAGTGTACCTCACTTTTAATTTATGAAAGTTTAAGCTAAGCTAAAGTTGGCTAAGTAAGAAAATTCAATTTTTTTCTTGCATCATTGAATTGATTAACTATGAAACCCGGCTTTTGGAATGATCCAAGATGCATTGGTAACCTCGAAACGTTCCATTAAAAACAAAATTATCACAAATTTTTGCTTTTGAATTCATAATGGATTAATCAAATTATAGTCTTAAATTGAGTTTTAATCTTCTTGTTTATAAAATTGGAATTGTACTTGTTAAGAATTTTGCATTAAAAAAAGCAGTAGCTACTCTTATCTTCAAATCATTGATTTCAAATGCCAGCGAAGAATGGAGCCATGTCAAGGCTTTTTATCTTTGAAAGTGGGGTGAGGTTTGTGATTTTTTAAAATTTTTTTTTATATTTTTAAATAAAAAAATATTTTAAAAAACAACAAATTTCACTTACAAACAATTTTTTTTCAACCCGTGATTTCACATGTTATTTTTTAATAAATTATTTTAATGTACTGATATAATAAATAATTTTTAAAAAATAAAATAATTTTTTAAATATATTTTTAAATGAAAAGCCCTACAACAATTTCAAAATTGCAAGGGCAGTTTTTTTTACAAAAGCAGTGTTTCTTTTTTGTTAGTCTTTTACCTTCTCTTTTATATTTTTTTAAAAATCTCTTTTTTTTAAAAAAAAAAAAATTTATATAAAAAACAACAACCATGATAATAGATAGATTCCATAAATTATTAAATAAAAAAAGATTGAATCTTATAATATAGTTATAAAATTTCATTCAATATAGCAAGTTAATTTTAAATTTTTTTTATTTAATTTTTATTTAATACAAGTTTAAAATTAAACAGTACAAGAGTTTTTTTAATATGATTTAATTAATTTGACTAGTTTAAAGATAACCTAATTAGACTAATAAAAAAAATATAAACATAAAATTGAAAAATAAAAGGAATTGATAGAAATAAAAAAGGGAAAATTTTTCATGTAAGAGTTATTTACATTTGATACAATTAATTCATACTAAGATAAGATATATTTTTTAAAAATATATGGCTGATTGGTAGATCTATCTTTATAATGGCTCTCTAATTTATCTTGTATCCTTAACGGGTCGATTTTATCCTTAAATACATTCTAAGCTTCTAAATTTATCATTCGGCAGCATGAGATGTTTGGACAAATCCTCTAAAATTAGTCACGAAATTGATAATAAATCTGGATTGCGTTTCGCCTTTAATGATACTCACAAGCTTCAAATTGGTTATGCACAAAAATGGCGAATTCCAAGTTTTTTATTGGGGTCCATACGCCGGTAACCACGTTCCCCCAAGTCTCTTCTTGGGGTCCATCGGGCGGGGACCACCGCGTCGATTACCACGACGGTTATGGCCATGGGGAGGAGCGAGAGGGGCGGGACG